ACTGCCCAGGACTGCCCTCGACTGCGTCTATCGTGGAGTATTCGCCAAGACCAACTCAAACTCTCTTTATTCATTTTCAAAACTCTAACCAATTACAAAACAGTAAAAAGACTCTAGGGCGTAACCTTCAATCATAAAGCCAATCACACTAAGTACTGAATACGTCATATCTTTTGATTAATCGTTCACTACATTAATAACTACGGATGTCAGAATAGCGACGGTATCTTGTAATTAGTTCCAAACCACTGAGCCAAGTTCCGTCCAAAACTTCAAATAGACCTAAACGATGACAGACATAATACAGCAATTCAGCTAATAATCAACTAATTAAGTCGGTCAACAGATACGCGAAAACAAATTCATGACAGAACACAGGAAGATAATTCAAACCAGTTGTAGTTCGTAATCAAGAAATAACAAACACATAACAAATAATAAGTTTAGTCAGAAATTATTATGATTGAAAGTGTGTTGAAAATGAAATGATATGTGAGTAACTATTGTCACAACCATAGAAAACAGCTTCAAACCTTATAATTCCCGAATCACTATCGGTCGTACAATGCATTTTCTGATGGTTATGTTCATATAATCTAGTTCATGTGCATATCAACCACTAATAATACCACCATAAGATATTATATTTTCAAAACCTATAATATGGCCAAGTTCCTTGAATTTCAAATATTCATATTGTGATATTTTCTAATCTGTTTGACAATCTTTTGCACATTCACAGTCGTTTGCTGTGAGCTGTTTTAACTGTGTGCATCTTGTACAAACCGCAGCCGACCTGAAATTACGCGCACACGCGCACATTGTTTGACACATGGCTAGACCAGACAAAGCTTGGATTGACATTCGACCTATAAAAACGTTTAACCTCTGTCACCTGCAAATATGAGTTACCCTATTCTGTTTTACATTTAATAGCTTCACCAACATCGAATAATTTGTTACGCATTAACAATATTATCCCAATCGTTTAATTTCACATTCAGATATATTGATACTGTATTTTCCAATTCAATCCAACCCTAAATGTATTGATTTATATGTCAGTGGTATATGCAGCTGATCTTAAGTTTGAGGGGACTACACAGTCTGCCTTCAGCCTAATACTGCCTTCTGCCATTACCTTAAATTTGACTCAAAGGGCCAGCGTTCCGCCAGACAAAAGAGATGATTTTAATTTTACCACAATCAGTTTTATACACGTATTCAGCGATATCCCACTCTCTCCTACATGTAAATGTATCTGTAAGCTAATTTCCCGGGCCTGTGGTACATGTACAAGCTGTTTGAAGACATATCGTTTATTTTAGTCCAAACTATTAGAGTTCTGTAGAGCAGACTTGTCTTAAAGTGCCCGTGAAATGCCTACCCGCAAATTTCCCATTTGGGATTTATGTTCCCCTGAAATAGACAGTTGTTGATTGTTTTTGGTTGAAAATGGTTACTCTTGTCCGAGTAAATTTAAGATTCTCATGTTGTAGCCATGCCCACTTATCATAAAACAGTCGACTGTTTAGTGCTTTCCGACTCTAGCCGAAGTAAAAAGGCGCCACCAAACGCCAAAATATGAGAGGAAGCCATGCTCTTGCGCTATACTTTTATATTACTGCGGCATTTAGCTATTAACGATATATATTTTTTGGTCGGCGCCTTTTTTTGAAACGTATTTTTGCGGACTCAGCAATGCGTATAGTAATAGTGTGATAATTTACGCGTTTCCAAACGATCCGAAGGTGTAGACGAAAGCCGTAAAATGAGAAAAGTTGGGATGGACATTCTCCTTATACCGTCATGCCGCACATTCGTACACCGAACATCTTTCCTCATTTATGAAAAATCAGAATGGATTCAAAAACAAGTGCCGAAAAATTAAACCTGATACAGTACTAACACTTTTCAAAGAACTAGATTTCGGACCAGCCTAAGTTCACCGCGTTGGTGAGTGTTTCAAATGTTTTAGGAATCTGAATAACGTGTTGTAGAGACCATATAGTTATGTTATGTAAGAACATGGTAAGAGGTAGCAATGACGTGACGCGAAAACCAAAGCGTCAGCCAAAAAGGAAAGTACGCAGCACTCACACGTTGGCAATTGTTTTTAATTACGCTGTCTAAAAGTTTCTGAATTGTTTTGTGATTGGTGTTGACTTCACACTTTTGTGAACTTGAAATCTTGCCATTTGATATGCGTAATAAGTGGGCTGTCAATATTTTGCAACCACGTATTTTTAATGCGATGTCGTAATTATGACAATCACGATAACTCGAATCAAAATCATTTTTTGCTGTGTTTCGCTCTCAGTTATTTTTATTATCCAATCAATCGTCGCCATTCACGCACTTTTCCTTGCCGTGACCCGACGCGTTCACCCATTTTAGCAGCTGCATGGAAAACTTTGAAAAATAATCGAAATAGATATAGATATCGTGGAGAGGAGATGGAGATGTCGGCACTTCAACCGACTTCATCGACCACAATACAAGGGACTCTGATTGCGCAGTACACAGTTGATCGCGGCGGCCAGCTACGCCAGAAAGGATATATTTCGTATCTAACTCAACCCTATACAATAAACTTGATAATATGTGTTCTTTATGGTCCACTCTTCCTCGAGAAACAAATACATGAGTGGCAATTTAGTCAAAGACGAGAAAATTTAATAAGAAATGTGCCTTATATACATTATCGACAATGCACGCTGACCAGCAAGCCCCCCCTTAGGCGTCACAAGGGGTATTTGAGTATGCAGATGAGAAGTTAATGAGGAGCCTCCTTTTAACAAATTGTTTATGACTGTTTATGAATAATATAAGACGGATGTCATATGCTAATTCCTTTCACTTGACATCATTTCATGTATACCATTCGGTCAATATACTGATGTACTGTGGTGTATTTCATGTATACCATTCGGTCAATATACTGATGTACTGTGGTGTATTTCATGTATACCATTCGGTCAATATACTGATGTACTGTGGTGTATTTCATGTATACAATCCGGTCAATATACTGATGTACTGTGGTGTATTTCATGTATACCATTCGGTTGTTTGTTTTGTGTTCTTGAACATGTAATTGTCCTGCCAAGTACTATTCAGTACATGTTTGTAAGCTGTTTTTCTTGAATATCGTCTGTATCTTATTTCTACGCTTTGACGCCATGGAGATGTTAGTCATCTCTTGATGAAACTTAATGTTTAGAAATGATATATAACTCAACATTTCTCTGTTGTGACGATTTTTATAATGATCCACATGACGCCTTGGTTATAATTTAAGAAATATATCATATAATATGATGTGGCGAGGGCATTTTACAAGATTCTATTACAAACGTAATTGTATTGATGTGTCGACTACGAGTATGTACGCCGGGTTATAATTTAAGAAATATATCATATAATATGATGTGGCGAGGGCATTTTACAAGATTCTATTACAAACGTAATTGTATTGATGTGTCGACTACGAGTATGTACGCCGGGTTATAATTTAAGAAATATATCATATAATATGATGTGGCGAGGGCATTTTACAAGATTCTATTACAAACGTAATTGTATTGATGTGTCGACTACGAGTATGTACGCCGGGTTATAATTTAAGAAATATATCACATAATATGATGTGGCGAGGGCATTTTACAAGATTCAATTACAAACGTAATTGTATTGATGTGCCGACTACGAGTATGCCTGCCGGGTTGACACAATCCTTGGTTGATGTAATTCCATTCAGACCAGCCATGTAATGATATAATTTCATTGATATATTTTTTTACAAGCCATATTAGAATGTTCTGTATATTTGGGCCAACCTTTCAAACTAATTGTCATATATTCTTGATGATGCATCTTGACAAATCCGGTAGAAAGTATCAAGCCAGTTAGATATTCTCAAAATCAGTCTTTTCCCAATTTTCAAAAACGTTCATATACTGTTGGAAGCGCGGCGATTTCCCTACTCTCGAATTATGTTGCCATGGTAACCGATGGTCATAGTCAACTTGAAAACTTTGTCGGAGTACAGGAACTGGAACAGACGAACCCATCACTTGCTCAAACCTGTATGACGATAAATCATCCTCCCCCTGCTCCAGGTCCTCCTCGTCCTCCCCCGCTTCCTCCTCTTCCCTTAACTCTAAACCGTGGGTGATTGCATCCACAAAGTCTTGCACTTCGTTATTACTATCCAGAGAAATGGCTACATCTTCCTCATTCACTTTTGGATCAAGTTGGATATGTGAAACATCAATATCATTTTCTGTAACTAGTTCTTCTTCTACAGGTATTGTTGGCATAGGATCTTTGTTCACGCGAGTCGCAAACAGAATATCATACTCATTCGCCTGCACTTGACTCTCTCTACGTTGCGTGTTAATGTAACTCGGGATAGGATGTTGCTGGCGATTATGTTGCATTCTTAACTGTTCGGCAATACTCCGAACATTTTCATTGCCGATTCCGTGGTGGGCTAAAACTTCTGTGTGTGATTCCTCCAATTTTCTTTCTAGACCTTGAATCATATCAGTGTGATCCTCAGATTTCTTCAATAATTGTTCTTTTATTACGCTTAGTACGTCAATGTTAATTTTCTCCATCTGTACGAGCCTGAGCACAAGACCATTAATGTGACTGTTTGTAATTGACATGTTTCTCTCGAGTTTTTGCACCATTCCAAGTTGTTCGTATCTGTTATAAATAACAAGGATATTTAGTGTCTTTGCATTAACTAGTGGTAATATAATATATCTCGCTTTTCAAGTTATTTTTTCAGATTTGTATAATTTGCGAAAATAAATTTTGTGGAATCAAATTATGCTTAGGAGCCGAAGTAGTGAAAAATGAAATTAGGTGGAACTGAAGTTTAGGCTAAAATTGAATTGAATATAAAACTGGAACATGGAATATGAATTATGGAATGGAGGTGGGAAGTAGAATTACGATTAGAAAAGTTTGTGTCACCATTGTAATGACTTCTGGTCTGGTTATTTGATGGAAAAAGTGCATCTGGCAATGTGTCTGTTAAAATGATTTTACAAACATTTTCCCAAATAACATCCAATGCCATATATATATCTAATTGTATTATGTTTCATATAAATTCATGTATTGCCAATCAAACATGTTTACTATACCAAAATAATCACGTTTATTGTAATTATGCTTTTTTTTCAAAATATCCATCAACAAATGGCGAAACACAATATTTTTTTGTAAAAAGCTAATTGGTAATAGGTACACCACTATATAAAGCTAAGATGATTAGTATACTTAGTGAGAAAAGAAAGGGAAACTAGTAAGTAGCACAAATTTAAAAATCGTATTAGAAACATTTTATTCTGCCGAAGCTAGATTTGAAGAAAGAAAACAAAACTAAATCTCTTTAACAGTATCTTGCATTCATTTTCAATCTTATGTCACAGCAATGCAAAATGACACATTCTTCACGCAAGATATTTGCAAATGTCAGACAAAACCTGACCAGTATGCCATCATTCTGTACACATCCACCTTTGAAAAGTTTGTAATTTTTATAAAATATTGAAGAACTATTGTTCACTCATACACACACACAGGGACACTGGATATATCTACAAGGCACCGTCTGCTCTCATTGTGTCATATCAGTTCAGAACTTCCTCTGATATATGAACCATTATGCATTGACAATTTAAGATACACACATTACATATAATATATTGTGTCTTTCAAATGTGCTATGGCGTTCTTTGCAAGATACATAAAATTCATTGCTTTGTTCCGAATACATCTTTGCATACTGGTGGAAACGATCTAACTTACCTATATAATTAACTTAATTGTCTACAAGATGGATGCCCGGCTTAGGGTCGCAATTACCTGTTTTTTACGAGTTAACATACGGAAGTGTGTATGGAATTCCTCAATGTATGTTTATATATAAATGTAACTAATTTACCGACTATTAACTGCACGCTGTTTTAAACAACAAGAAGAATTATATAGATATGTTACGTGAATACCTCTTACCTAAAACTTGACATATCTTGCTTGAACTCCATGAACTCTACTTTAGTCACTTTGTCGCCCTGCCCACCACGTCCATGATGTCCAGATGCCACGTTACCAAAATAACGTACGACCAATTGATTTACAATTCTCTGTTAAATACAAAAGTGATACCACGAATCAATCCCCATGCATATCACATACGGATTATTATGGAGGTTTGTGATATAATTTATATTCAAATACTTCACAATAGTGATAACTTCGAACCTGATACTCTTCCTGTTTCTTCACGTTCTTTTGTTGTTTTTTCTAAAACAAAAAAGCAAACAGTTTTAGCGTTTATTTGATAGTGTGGCAGTAATAACAGTGAGAGAACGTTGATTGCATTGATTGGCATTAAAAAAAATGTTTGATATTCAGTTTAGTCGCATAACACGGTTTGGTGATGTTGCAGACAATGTAGTAACGTAGAGTAGGTTGAGTGATGTAGCACTCCCTTTAGTGACACATGTACGTACATAGTAGTGACGTAGCAGTCCATTTAGTGACACATGTACGTACATAGTAGTGACGTAGCAGTCCATTTAGTGACACATGTACGTACATAGTAGTGACGTAGCAGTCCATTTAGTGACACATGTACGTACATAGTAGTGACGTAGCAGTCTCTTTAGTGACACATGTACGTACATAGTAGTGACGTAGCAGTCCATTTAGTGACACATGTACGTACATAGTAGTGACGTAGCAGTCCATTTAGTGACACATGTACGTACATAGTAGTGACGTAGCAGCCCATTTAGTGACACATGTACGTACATAGTAGTGACGTAGCAGTCCATTTAGTGACACATGTACGTACATAGTAGTGACGTAGCAGTCCATTTAGTGACACATGTACGTACATAGTAGTGACGTAGCAGTCCCTTTAGTGACACATGTACGTACATAGTAGTGACGTAGCAGTCCATTTAGTGACACATGTACGTACATAGTAGTGACGTAGCAGTCCCTTTAGTGACACATGTACGTACATAGTAGTGACGTAGCAGTCCATTTAGTGACACATGTACGTACATAGTAGTGAAATAGCAGTCCCTTTAGTGGCACATGTACGCACATAGTAGTGACGTAGCAGTCCATTTAGTGACACATGTACGTACATAGTAGTGATGTAGCAGTCCATTTAGTGACACATACATACATACAAGGTTCAATGTGTTGTTGAGAGGATGGAGTTATTGTAAACGATGAAGTCGTAAATCAGGTTTTATCCTGGGTTTTGAATGGTCAATGTCAACAGATAGTGGAAATTAGAGCATGATTTGTTGATAGAAAAATTGAGTTGACCCTGTCTAGTATTTGGAGTTAAAGCGCGGTAGTCGTCGCGCTGCGCTTGTGCCACATTTGTGTTGATAAACATTGATTTTCCCACAATCCAATGCGTTCTTCAAATGGAAATCACAAGTATGAGGTTTGACCTGGATGCGACTTGCACTGATTACCGACGGTGACTCCTTCGATACCTTCCAATCACATGAAAATTGCCCAATTAAAGCTTGGAAACGTCTCAGTTCGTACTCGTTGATCTGGGCAACAGTCAAAGTCGCCACCTTTGTTTATATGAGACCCATATACCTCGCACATGCGCAGCGCGACGACTACTGCGCTTTAAATTAAAGCAGCCACTGTATGAGAGGCTAACACCATGGGTGCTTCCTACACTCAACTTCATACTCACCTGTGTCTTTACTCTGGCAGCTTTTTTACATACACACAAATACCCCGCCATGAAAGCGTGATAGACAAACTTTGGACTTGGTAAAATGTTGAATGGGGGTGGTATGGTAGCACCTTCGAAATAGCTCATCCACATTTCAGAGCGAAAATATTTCCACTCTGTATCCGAATTTTTCTGAAATAAATGAATCATGATTGTAAAACCATTTGATGTATTTGTTCGGGACCTTGCTTTTTACGCACAATAGAATTGAGCACGCAAGTTTAAAAGGCTGAAATACTAGAACACCATATGTGCATGAAATCGTTTGGACGTGTAAGTATTCGCGAATACAAGCAATATGTATGTTCACTTAAATGTATGAGCGCTAAACTGGGAATGGAAGTACATTATCAGTATTATCTGGTCTTCTTTCAAAAGGAATCCGGTGTTCAGAACACTCGAGACAAGCATGTTGATTACAGATTTGTACTTTCAGTAAATTTGTTTTAATATTTCAGATAAGAATACCCGGTAGAAAAACATGATTACCGTCGGGGTGTATTTATCCCACATGTACAATTAACTTGGTCATTGTGAATGTTTGACGTTATCCGCTGTTTGATGATACAATAGTGACGACATGTTTAACATGTGATTGAATTTGAATATCGATGGTAGTGTGATATATCGGGCAAAGACCACTTTGTTTCATGTAAATAACAATATATTTTACACGCGTTGTGTATGTCGATATGGGTCTGCTCGATCATTATTCACAAATTATGTGAATTTCATCAAAACATATTATCCATGTGTTTATATCATCTTGCATGCACACGCTGAATGGTCATTTTGTGTGCAAGTGATGCATGAGATAATCAGCTATGCTGTATGCAAATGGTGCATGAGATGAACGACCAACCTGTATGCAAATGACGCATGAGATGATCGACCAACCTGTATGCAAATGATGCATGTGGTGGAGTGGAATCCTGTATGCAAATTATGCATGAGGTGATAAGCCATCCTGTATGCAAATGATGCATGAGATGAACAACCATCCTGTATGCAAATGATGCATGAGATGAACAACCATTCTGTATGCAAATGATGCATGAGATGAACGACCATCCTGTATGCAAGTGATGCATGAGATGAATGACCATTCTGTATGCAAATGATGCATGAGATGAACGGCCATCCTGTACGCAAATGATGCATGAGATGAACGACCATCCTGTATGCAAATGATGCATGAGATGAATGACCATTCTGTATGCAAATGATGCATGAGATGAACGACCATCCTGTATGCAAATGATGCATGAGATGAATGACCATTCTGTATGCAAATGATGCATGAGATGAACAACCATTCTGTATGCAAATGATGCACGAGATAAACGACCATCCTGTATGCAAATGATGCATGAGATAACGGCCATTCTGTATACAAATGATGCATGCGATGAACGACCATTCTGTATGCAAATGATGCATGAGATGAACAACCATTCTGTATGCAAATGATGCATGAGATGAACGACCATCCTGTATGCAAATGATGCATGAGATGAATGACCATTCTGTATGCAAATGATGCATGAGATGAACAACCATTCTGTATGCAAATGATGCATGAGATGAACGACCATCCTGTACGCAAATGGTGCATGAGATAAACGACCATCCAAAAGGCAAATGATGCATGAGATGAACAACCATCCTGTATGCAAATGATGCATGAGATGAATGACCATTCTGTATGCGAATGGTGCATGATACAAACGACCATCCTGTACGCAAATGGTGCATGAGATGAACGACCATCCTGTATGCAAATGATGCATGAGATGAACGACCAACCTGTATGCAAATGATGCATAAGATGAACGGCCATTCTGCACGCAAATGATGCATGAGATGAACGACCAACCTGTATGCAAATGATGCATGAGATGAACGACCAACCTGTATGCAAATGATGCATAAGATGAACGGCCATTCTGCACGCAAATGATGCATGAGATGAACGACCAACCTGTATGCAAATGGTGCATAAGATGAACGACCATTCTGTACGCAAATGATGCATGAGATGAACGACCATCCTGTATGCAAATGATGCATAAGAGGAACGGCCATCCTGTACGCAAATGGTGCATGAGATGAACGATCATCCTGTATGCAAATGATGCATGATACAAACGACCATCCTGTACGCAAATGGTGCATGAGATGAACGACCATCCTGTATACAAATGGTGCATGAGATGAACGACCATCCTGTACGCAAATGGTGCATGAGATGAACGACCATCCTGTATGCAAATGATGCATGAGATGAACGACCATCCTGTATGCAAATGATACATAAGATGAACGGCCATCCTGTACGCAAATGGTGCATGAGATGAACGACCATCCTGTACGCAAATGGTGCATGAGATGAACGACCATCCTGTATGCAAATGATGCATGAGGTGATAAGCCATCCTGTATGCAAATGATGCATGAGATGAACGACCATCCTGTATGCAAATGATGCATGAGATGAACGACCATTCTGTATGCAAATGATGTATGAGATGAACGACCAACCTGTATGCAAATGATGCATGTGATGGAGTGGAATCCTGTATGCAAATTATGCATGAGGTGATAAGCCATCCTGTACGCAAATGATGCATGAGATGAACAACCATCCTGTATGCAAATGATGCATGAGACGAACGACCATTCTGAATGCAAATGACGCATGAGATGAACGACCATTCTGTATGCAAATGATGCATGAGATGAACGACCATCCTGTACGCAAATGGTGCATGAGATGAACGACCAACCTCTGTGCAAATGATGCATGTGGTGGAGTGAAATCCTGTATGCAAATTATGCATGAGGTGATAAGCCATCCTGTATGCAAATGATACGTGAGATGAACGACCATCCTGTATGCAAATGATGCATGATATGAACGACCAACCTGTATGCAAATGATGCATGAGATGAACGACCATTCTGTATGCAAATGATGCATGAGATGAATGACCATCCTGTATGCGAATGATGAATGAGATGAACGACCAACCTGTATGCAAATGATGCATGTGATGGAGTGGAATCCTGTATGCAAATTATGCATGAGGTGATAAGCCATCCTGTATGCAAATGATGGATGAGATGAACGACCATCCTGTATGCAAATGATGCATGCGATGAACGACCATTCTGTATGCAAATGATGCATGAGATGAACGACCATTCTGTATGCAAATGGTGCATGAGATGAATGACCATTCTGTATGCAAATGATGCACGAGATGAATGACCATCCTGTATGCAAATGATGCATGAGATGAATGACCATCCTGTATGCAAATGATGAATGACCATCCTGTATGCAAATGATGCATGAGATGAACGACCATCCTGTATGCAAATGATGAATGACCATCCTGTATGCAAATGATGCATGAGATGAACAACCATCCTGTATGAAAATGATGCATGAGATGAATGACCATCCTGTATGCAAATGATGAATGACCATCCTGTATGCAAATGATGCATGAGATGAACGACCATCCTGTATGCAAATGATGCATGATACAAACGACCATCCTGTACGCAAATGGTGCATGAGATGAACGACCATCCTGTATGCAAATGATGCATGAGATGAACGACCAACCTGTATGCAAATGATGCATAAGATGAACGGCCATTCTGCACGCAAATGATGCATGAGATGAACGACCAACCTGTATGCAAATGATGCATAAGATGAACGGCCATTCTGCACGCAAATGATGCATGAGATGAACGACCAACCTGTATGCAAATGATGCATAAGATGAACGACCATTCTGTAC